CTATTTCGGCCTGGGTACTACTCGAAGTTGTGTGACAGCTGGGATTTTGGTGTGTGCCACGATAAGCCACGCGCCCAGGTTAACCCTTTTCAGTCATAGGAGACTGAAGCACCTGCACCACGTTTAGATCAGGATGATAATCTTCGAGAGCCCCGGTCGAAATCGGAGACGATGAAGACCATGGCGAGAATGACCAATGCCGTTGTGATAACAGGACTGGGGACTTGATTACAGTCCCTGTGAGTGTACACTAACCAGCAAGTCTGACGAGGTCTTGACGCCATGTACTGGCAAGTCCCTGCTGGACCCTCATCCCTTTCTTTCCGAGGGCATTCCGCATGGATAACAGAGAACTCTATTTGTCTTAGCGGCCTCGCCCCCGCATTTATGAAGCTGCAACATGATTGCTTGGACCCCAGAATCGAGCGTCTGAGCCATGCCCTATTCGGCATATATATGCGCTCGCGGCCCCGTCTGCCTTTCTTGGGAAGTTGAAATCTCAATTCTTCATTCATCGTCGGCAAGGTCGGCCATTTCGAGAACTCCGCTGAGCAGTCAATTGCATGGCTTGAACAGATAACGATTACGCTGACCTCACTCGACAGCCATCAGTAGGTTATCGATGGGTCGCTCTAGGGGAGGATGCTCCAATTGTAAGAGGCGGAAACGGAAATGCGACGAGACGCGTCCAGATTGCCGAGCATGCCAAAGGCGTGGCATCCAGTGCGAGGGCTATAACACCACACTCAAGTGGACCAACGGAATAGCCTCGCGGGGTCGATTTGCTGGGGCCGCAATCCCTGACCTTGCTGCGAACAAAGCGAGCGCCAACTCAACTACTTTTGATAGCTATCTGCCGAACGCTGAAGATCCACTACACCACACTGGATCATCCTCAGCATCTCCCGGGGCCGATACACCGAAGCTGTCCGGGCCCGCTCAAGAATCAGATACACCGGGGTCACACTCTGAAATCTCATATTTGGCACCATCGCCCGGCGGCACCAATGACCCGAAACGGCAGCTTTTCCAGAGATGTAAGTCATTCGCCGCTTGGCCCTGTCACGTATAGGTATTCGAGTACTGACCATGTCGCAAGTTCTCAACGCGGGGATGCACCGACTCTACACCACTGAGAGCTCTGGTTGGATGAAATCTCACTTTGTCTCAATGGCAGAGAAAAGTCAAGCATTTGCTATCGTCTGTGGTGCTATCCAAGCATACCTAGACGACGGTTTCTCAGTCTCGTCAATGGAATACGTCGATCACGCGCTCCAAACTTTCCGATCGGAATTAGAAAGCCGACACAACTCCTTCGATGGATCCACCGTCTCTGCTGGCCTGCTTCTCTGTAGTCTATGTGTAAGTCTCGAAAATGCATAGCTTCGCCGTATGCGAATCGGCTACCCATATCTCACGCGTACAAACGTCTCGAATCTGATATCCATTACTAACCCACAGCCTTTATGTAGCTGCTTCAAGCTCGCCCTTGGACGATGTATCTTCAGCTCATGGCCGGCCTGTACCATTTAGAGACGAACTTGAGTCATCTGCTGCCCTCAGCCGACCATGAGTTCACCATCCGGCACTCCATCGAAGTCTTGTCTATCATGGACATGGATATCATGGTGATTGGTCGAATAACACCGAGCATGAATGTTTGGCGCCACCTACGAAAAGTCCAAGATTCTTGGAAAGGCGGTAGGCTCGGTGGGGTAGAGACCGTATCGGGACTGCCCAGATCGCTGCTAGATATTCTCGCTGATATGAGGGAGAGCAGCGCGAGTGACATAGAATCCCAGCTCTGGACTTGGCCGGGAGAGATTGGTGAGCATGCCCAATGCATGCTTTGGGACTGCTGGCGGTATACAGCGGTCTTACATGTGAGGCGATTATACCGATCTAGAAGAAAGTTGGCATCATCCGATGATGAGAACCGGCCGGGACCTCACTCAGGTGACATGACATCATTCCCGTCAAGAGAAGTCGTCATGTGTCGTTTGGCGGCATCGGTTTACGCACTATACAGGGCAGTTGAAATGCCTGCCAACCACCACCTTCTGGTTCACAACGGGCTCATGTATCCTTTAGTGATAGGCAGCCTCGAAGTCCCCATCCTAAATGCTCATCCAGAGTGGAAGCAGGTTTTCGACGATGTGCGGTCATCGTTCTTGAGGAAAGACTCATTTCGGCTCATAAATATAGTTGACGAGGTTCTTGAAGAAGCATCCAGGGAGGGAACTGATACATTTGACATAGAAGAAGCTGCTAAGGCTCGAGGTGTTGAGATCGCAGTCTTTTAACCTGTTGAGGATAGCGGTCCGGGAATAGGAAGAAAATTGCTCAAACGCCTGAGTTCGTCTGTCTAAACTTTGCTGCCCTACACACGCACTTGTGCAGTGATTTGCCTGTCGCTTCTCGTTCATCCGTTTGAGACATCAAGACTGGAGTTGGGTGGTATGATGGGCGCAGACAAGATATCTCGGAAAGATAGGTGGAACATAAATGACATCCAGGTTTTTGCCTCGTGATAACCCTTCTCAGAATACTCGAGCTGTACAAGGATACGGTCATTGACGAACTCAGTTCCCTGCCCGCACATGATATGGTGACCTGAGCGATGAAGAGTAGTGATGACAAGAAGGCCAGGCCGATCTATATATATGCACTCGGACATCTCGAAGTGCCTTTCCGATGGAAATTAGTTGGGTTCGAGGTTGCAGGCAGTTAAAGTCGGTCTCTAGAATAGTTTAGTGATTCAAATTGAGAAAGCGTTGATTAATTCTATATGTGCTGTGGGTGCTAGTGCCTTGATGAGATACGTAGTCTCTGAGAACGGCGTATGTTGTGCCGTCCGCAAGAACAAGTCAAACTCATAACTCAAGACTTTCATGTCCTGACCGTGGATGAACGAAGTCCCCAGGTATGTGATGTCGCGACTTGATTTGTCTCCTTCTAACGTCACTCGTGTTGCGGATCGAAGTCTCAAGAAGGAGGTAATGAGTACTAGGAACCTTGAATCTACGAAGGATGACTTCCGGCATCTGTTAAGTGAATCCACGATACCGTAGGTACATCAAGTAACGCAAAGCGAATCTCTAATCCCAAAGCAATAAAGAAGTCATAGTTGAAATTCTCAAAGCAGGTCTTATTCAATCCTCATATTTCAATCAGCCTAAGGTATTTATGAGAGGCAATGTTTTACGCATTTCCTTGAATATTTACCGATTAACGTGGGCCTTGAAGACTGCAGACCTGCTTATATATACGTGGGTATAACTGCATACCATGTGAAATATCAGAGTTGAACTTCAAGGGATTCTAGTTTTGTGCGGAAAATCTGATTCACTTGAGTCCTATCTATGCGCTGGCGATCCCATTTGTCCCCGCGATCAGCTACGAATATTGTTTCAAACATGTGAGTTTCATCTCTCCCTTGAAAATGGAAGTCAGAACTCGTGCGAGTTCAATGCATCATCGTCATTGTCTTAGTCGAAACAATGTTTCTTGACTTTCCTCCTCGCTTTTTAGCAAGCAGCACATGGGGTCGTCGTTCTACCTGGTCGGATTTCTAGGGTGCCTTTTAATACGGCGAGAAATCCTCGCAAATGTAATTAGCATACGCACGTTCCAAGACGCTCAGAAATTACGAAATCCAAGTATTTTGCTGCATGTATCGATACAGTTCGAATTGAATTTCATCTGAGTCACATGTGTGAAAGTACGTTGATGAGTCTATCTGTCTGCACACAATGTGCTCACAGCGTTACGACTATGATTTTCATACACATTAGTACTTCACACCTGAAGATGAGCGATGTCGCAGTCAGTCAGTCCTACAGGATGCGAGGATCTTGCAAGGGAGAGTTTAACATCAGCTCATGCAGATCAACGAAACTGAGACCTGCCTGCCTACGAGATAGCAAAGCCTTCGCTCGCTGTTTGCAAGACTGGCTTCGTCGATCAGTTTGGCGTACTGGCAACTACATGCCGCACTCCAGCTTGGCGGTCGATGACTGCAGGGAGAAGTCCTGAGTAGTTCAGTGTTGTGTTTTAGTGTAATGCAGGTGGAGAATTATGAATCCAACGGGCAACATCAATCACACACCGTTGGTCAGAACTATGTGGCTAAACTTAGGATTATGGGAGCACTAGGAATGATCAATCGAAATAAAGGTAGATCAGCGGGGGCGGCATGCTTCTGGGGCGATGAAGCCTCGGGGCAATCGGAGGCCCGAAAGCAGATTAGAACGTGGAGTCGTGCCTTGTTTAGGTTAATCAGCCCCGGCAGATAGCGCTCGTATTAATATCGAGGTTACATAACCTGCGTCATGTGCCTGGAATTCAAGTCAGAAATGAGAATGCATGCGACCCTGAATACGAGAATCTTGCCTCGATGGATTGGAGGATTCATTGTGCAGTGGTCTTGCGAGCCATCATTCCACCGAATGGTAGCTAAAGGAAGGACCATCCAGCGGATGCGTATGCTTCTAAGCCACGTATGACCGACGGCTTGAGCCAACTGAACCGCGAGGCGTATAGGCAATTACCTTAAGCGATCAAAGTGACCCGGAAGGCAGGTTGTTATGACCGCATAGGAACTTTTTGGCTGGACTATGACACATTGCTGGTTCACATCCGCACTAAGCTGCTGTCATGATGGATCATGAAATGGGGATTGAAGGCAGTGACGGGGAACTTAGCGAGAGTCCAAGGTCCACCGACGCAGGGAGAGGGAATACGATGGCAACGTCACTTTCTCAATCGTTTGAGTACCCACGAGCTTGTTGTCATACCATTGATCTGTGCTCATCTATTTGTTGGCCTCCAGTAATACAACCTTGACTCTTGACTGGTATAAATCCGCTCGTCCGCCGCCACTCCGGACGGTATTTCAACTCAAAACACCACGTTGTCCAATACAAGCCAACAGTTACAAACAATCACTCCCTTCTCAATTTCATTTACAACTCAAATTGTTTCCTCAAGACCTCGCGATAATGCAGATCACCAACCTCTTCCTCACAGCCCTGACTGCTGCCTCTGCCGTCTCCGGCTCACCCGTTTCGAAGCGTGAGGTTAAGTCAATGATGGCCGCGGGTGTCGCGGAATGGACCATTGAAGGTTTTACCCGCACCTGCAATGCTGAGGATACCTCTTGCGACTATAGCTTCAACATCAACACCCACATCGCAGATCCCACAGCCTGCAAATTCACAACTACCGGCGCACCTGCAAGCCGCGCTGCCTCAAACGCCAAATGTGGAGCTTTCTCTGTTACATCGGGCTGGAGCGGACAGTTCGGTCCGGATGCGGGATTCACAACCTTCTCTGTCACGGACCAGAAGCTTATTGTTTGGCCCGCCTACACCGACAAGCAGCTGGTGAACGGCCAGGCGGTAAACCCTGACCAAAGCTACGCTCCCCAGAACTTGCCTTGATCAGGTCGCCACGACATTCAATGGAATGAAACGCAGAATTTTTATGCCATAGAGCATCAGAATACAGGATATGTCAATATTGTAGTAATCGATTGTCTTAACCCGTCGTATTTTGATGTTTCGAAGCTGCGGTTCGCGAGTGCATACATGACTACCACCTCAAGTGTTCGTAGGCCTCTCTGTGCATCAGCGACCGCTGTAGACGAATAAAATGGAGTTGCTTACCAAACAATCCCAATAAAAAGCAAATTGCCACTTAATAACATAGAGTTTTGGTGTTACCCATGTTCGGGCTCGCGAAGACCTATTCTAGGTACGTTGTCTTATCAATCCTCATAAAATATCAATATCACAAGTCTCCGCGCTGTTGCCAGTCGCATGAGCATCACCGAACGATATCACACAGGCCGTTAACAATTTAACAGCGATTATCATTTACTGGTTCGTGGAACGTCCCAAGCGATGTGCGAAGGGCCAAGATCATCACCCGCCCACCCCCCAGTATCGGTCTTGTCTAGATATTCCAATACTGGGCTAGGCTCAGTCAATCATTAAGGTACCTTACTTTATCAAACCCCGGTGGGTGTATGCATTCGGCGGCCCCGCGTGCGGGCGTTGCGGGAGGTGGATTTAATCGATTGCGAAATTAAGTAACGAATGCTCCTGCTCCACTGCCAAAGCTCATCGATTACCCGACCTTAAAAGAGGATATTGTATCCTCTCGTGACGGAGTAGATATCCTGCTCTTCTTTATCCCTCTCACTCGTACCGGGTTCAAAATGGCTCGAGCTCGTATAAACATTATGGACGACCTTGGCTGGGTCCGTGCCAAGTCATTGATTGCCAAAAGACGCGCCAAAAGATGTGAAGTTGACACAAAACTTGGTTGTCATGTTCCAATTGGATGTCGCACCCGAGATGGTTACGCTCAGGTCAGCTTCCTAGAAGTCTGCTCTAGCTTCAAACACTAATCGTACTTCTACCATAGATATGGACAAAGAGCAATGCCAAAGCGAAAAAAGGCCTCACTGGCAGGAAAGCTTCGAGAGCGTACCTACTTCACATCGTCGCCTACGCGCAACTTCACAAGCGAAACCCAAATGATCATGTGTCACACCTATGTGACAATCCCGCTTGTTTCAATCCTACACATCTGGTCGATGAAACGGCAAGCAACAATAATAGTCGGAAAGGCTGCCCAGGTCCAATCTATTGCTCTGACCACGGTTGTTTGATTGTGAATCTCTGCAACCACAACCCTCCTTGTATTCGACCTCCACGCCAGGATGTGCAATGCTGTTTGTCGCACAAGGAATTTCAGCCCTAGAAGATGCTATAGAGTGTAGATCGGGCATTGTGTTGTGCTAAATTTGAGTTTCATCACTGAACTATGAACGCTTACTTCAATGTGACTGCTGAAGGCACCTGTACATTATGTTGTAATTGCACCACAGCCTAGATGTTCATCAAGAGTATGATCATTTTAAGTGTGTGCCACTGTCGATTGACTGATGGTGACGCTTACGTAGCCACTGTCTGCTACTTTCCACTGGAATGCCAATTGTAATCTACAATATCCAAGGCGCAATCAGGTCATTACGATCGTGAGCGCAATGAGAACTTAAGGATAGTCGTAATATTGCAAGTAGGAAGTTATACTATCCTTGCACCTGGCTACGAGTCTACAAATCCTTCCCACCTGATGTGATGTTGACTAGATAGACAACTAGACTGGAGAGAATGTCTACAAAAGTCGCTCGATAATCCTTCCAGTTAATTAATGCTTCCACTCTGAGAGCCCGAGGGGTACTTCAAAACTTGATACTAGGGTCAATTAGCTGAGATTCCTTGACTTGAACTTTAGTGGCAAACATGATCCGACTTACCCACAGCGAATAGGTGCTGCACATCCCTTGTCACTTAGTAGTGGACAGATTCCAAAAATTCGATCGCAGGCTCAGCTGCAGGCTCAGCCTGCTTCTTGTAATGTACTGATTCGAGGAATGAAATTGATGGCTCGGCGTCCGCCTTGGGAGAGCGCTTGTAGTGGACAGACTCCAAAGGTTTGGTTATAGGTTCGGCTGCAGCCTCGGCTTCGGGGGTCCTCTTGTAGTGAACAGAGTCAAGGAACTCAATAGCAGGTGCCGGCTCTGCAGCAGCGTTGGGGGATTTCTTGTAATGCGTAGACTCGAGGAAAGAAATGCTGGCTTCGCGTGTCTCTTCGTTCATAACACCGGTAGGGGCAGCAACAATCAAAGAGGCTCCTCCGAGGAGCAGAACGTTGAAAATTCTCATTGTGTTTCTTTGTTAGGGGGAGACTGAAGTTGATTCTTTGACAAATCTCTTTGGAAATGGAAAGGCAGTGTGTTTAAATAGCCGTTTCCACAAGGCGAACAACAGTGAATTCAACCTGCTGCTATCGGCGCACTTATCTCAAGTAACCGAGCCAAGGCGTGGTATGAACGCGATTTCAATCACGTTATCACTGCAGCTAATCCAGGCCTGGGCAGGCGTAAGCTTCATCCGCGCCATAGTACATGGAAACTTCTCCGACTATCCACGTCAATCTTGTACATGGCGCGAAGTCACTGATTGCTTCACGTACATCGACATGGGTTATCCCACATGTTTGGAACTTCTGCTGCGGAGCCTACAGGGATCAGAACGGTGGTGAGTTCGCAAATGAATTTAATCTGAGTAATGGAAGGAAATAGAGTAAACACATTGACTTTGGTGCCTGCCAACCTGCGAAACTCGGTGATGGACTGAGCTGCACGGAGAAGTCTCAAGTAACTCAGTAAAGTGAGTTGAACCAGCAGCTTGAATAAACATGAGCAAAAGACATTGCTTGTTCATAATGTGGGATTCGGGATCTATGCTGACCATATTGGTTGGCTTGGTGGTCGAGACTGGTTCATCTGGATGTTTCCTTCTAGAGAAACAAGCTTTTGAGACCCGCGTTAGCTGCTGCGCATTTTCAAGGAAACCTGGTGGTCAGTTGCATATTCGAACAGACAAATTCGTGTCGATGGAAGAAAACAAGCTTTCTAGATCCGCCCGACTAGACGAATGCAGAAGGTCGATTAGTCGGCCCCGAAAACTGACTCATTGTGTCCTGTGCAGCTGTCGGGCCTCAATGATGTTTTCCTTATCATAAACTCCCCTTGTCTCAAAGATAGAGAAATCCACCCTGTCCGATGGCGAGTCATATTTGCAAGGAGCCCCTCGTCTGTCGCTTCACATCAGTGAAAACTAACTAACGGTCAGCTCTCGGATTTTGAACAACCACAGAGCTTAAGAGAGTACCCTAATAGTTGATACTTGCAATTTCCTTCCATTTTGATTGTCACTTTTCTTGAAGAATCGGCGTCAATGGTGTTCAGTAAGACAGGACAGTCTCGCCACGAACGAGATCTCCAAGCAGAAGAAGAAGCATTCTTCTTGGATGGCAATAACATGCAACTGCCCGCTAAAAAAAGCAAAACTTCATTCGAAACATTTTCTTTTCCTTTCTTTTGGATAAGCTGTGTACTTCTTGGGCTCTCGACTTGGTTCCACCTCAACCCAGCAGGACCATCGGATTTGCAGTGCGTCAGGAAGCTTAATGTTTTGTGTGAGTCCAGCATCGCACCTCTTTCAAACGATTGGTAGTGTCCCAGACTCATGAGATACACAGCACCCGTTCAAGATATTTTGGAATACGAAGATGTGCAGTTTGACAATGCATTCTGGAAGACCAGCCCTTATAAAGGAAGGCCGACTCCAGAGTTGGAAGCAAAATGGAAGGATCTGTGGTATTGTAAGTTGCACGAACGGCCCCTAGTTTATTTCAAAATGGCCTACTGATCCAGATTGGTATTAGATGGATCATTCGACTTATCGGATGAATATTTACCAGCATTGAACAAGACATCACATGGTACCGGCGGTGACTCCTGGGCACGCACAAAGCCAGGCTATCTTTTGGCTGGCCTCGAAGTTTTCCACAACCTTCATTGCTTGAATCTCGTACGTCAGTTTGTGCACAGATCCGAATTCGATTATAGCGACGATCCGGCCTTCCACGGTGGAGAGGATCTTGTGCTTGCCGTAAGCGCTCCCCAAGTCCAAAACTTTGCATTGAGTGACTTGACTGGACTGATTTGCTGGTTTGCTTCCGAAGCTGACTTCTACAGCATGTTGATCATTGTATCGAGGCATTACGTATACGACTGCAGTGCTCGGCTGATGTAACCCCGTTCTTACACATAAATGGCTCTCGGGGTATTCAGCCAGACTTCAACTCCCAGCATAGGTGTCCCAAGTATGATCGCATCGTTGAATGGGCAAAACAGCGCCAGATCATGGTGGATACTCCGAAATAACATGCAGGTCACCAAGTACCTAATCACCACATGCGGTCCTAAAACTTTGTGCTTCATTGCTAGGAGCTAGATGGTTCAACTTTCATTCTAGTCATTTTTTGGGAAGCGGATGACGGACGATTGAGTTAAATCGCTAAATCCTAGCGAGACGAGTAAAGGACAAGATCAATGTCGGGCAATATTGGGCGATTTTGCTTGGCCTTCAGCACAGCTTGCGAAGCTGCCAGAGGCGCCCAAGTGGTTCATTCCATGTGCCCAACCAAGGTTGTTAAAGACAGCATTTGAGGTTATACATTCGTTTATGTTCGATATGGACACATTTGTCCCAATTCTCAACGCTCGGTCAATTTAATGTTTCTGCTTGAAGACTGCTAAACTTCGATACTTGTCGCTGGAAAGGATCGTCGCCCCGTCGACTTAATCTGAATCATCTTTACTGTTCAAACAAAATACAAAGACTCCCATCTCCTGCCTTACAGGTTCCAAATTCGAGCCATACCTAATCGGGGCAACTTATGCCTGTGAAGCACAGGGTGACTTGTTGCAAGGCGCAATGTCGTGTCGCTCTGCACCATTTGATGGACAGGTTCCTAGTGACTGGCCACTCTTTGTGATTTCCGTGCGTGCACTTCTCGTCGTAGACCACGGGGCTTTAGTATAAACCAACAAGGATGTCACCGCGGACGCGAGCAGTCAAGTGAACCTCGGCTTCCAGGTCCAACTTGATGCCAACCATCAGAGCAGCTTTGGTCAACTTCCCGTTCTCATCAACAGGGCCTCTGAGCAGGTTACCTGAAGTCGTATTAGCAAAAGAGGAAACTTGAGCCGCGTATTGAAAGTCATTGGCATACCAACAGGGCCATTTGCGGTGCCAGACAGGTTGGGCATGGGAACAGGGAGGCCTGGTGCGGGCATGTTTCCCCTCATCCCTGTGTTGGCTGGTGGGTAGGATGTGGGATAGGCAGGCGCACGAGACTGCTCTTCCGCTGGGGTCTTTGCTCTAGATGACAGTGAAGATTAGACGTCGAACCCAACAAAACGGAGCTAATATTGAAGCTTACGGGGAAGACATTGTGGTTAGATATCTGACAACTTGATCTTGCAATGAATGCTGGAGCTCCTCAGGTGAGCTTGTTTCGTCTACTGGTTCGGAGTTGAGTAGGCCACGTTCTTTCAGAAATTGCTCTGAAAGTGATTTGATCGAAAGTGTCGGGCTGGTGGCTTGCGGTTCTTTCGGGGCCTCTGCGGTCGTTTTCTCCCCTATCGATGAAAGAGAGCCTCGTTTTGGGTGATGGTGTTGATGACTGGGATCGTCAGATTGGTGTTCCTGTGGTAGTGACTGAGCACGAGAGCGGTTGGCTGGTGAAAGGTTGTCGGTTGCGACTCGAATGGGGATCTTGAAAGAAAGGGATCTTCTGAGGGCTCCTGGCACAGCAGAGTAATCCTCGAATGGCTTGACCGAGGGTTCTATAGGGACAGCGACAGCAGATATCCGCTTTGACGAGGTGCTTGAGGATCGCGACGCGTGATTTGGCCTTCGTGGAACAGGTGGTGGTTGCTGCTGTTTGGCGTCAAATTTTGCTGATATTGTGGCGATGGGGGAACCTGTTCCCGCTGGCTTCTTTTCAGTGATTGACGTGGTGCTCTGTAATTTGGATTGAGATGTGACTTGGTTGGCCATGATGGAGGGGGAGCATGGTGAGCTTTAAGCTTCGATCCCGAACTCGGCTGACAGAGCCCGGTATAATTACTTGATGCTATCCTCCTTCCCCATCTATGCCTCTGGAATCATATTTGCTACAGAACCAGCGATCAACTTGGTAGCAAAATGACATCGTCTGATGTTGAAACCAGCCGCTCGGATCGTATCTTGCGTCGTGTTTTGTCGGTCTTGGCCAGAACGCGTCGGTCGGCGCGGTTCGCTCATGCGGAATGGCACTCTTGTTTCCAGAACATCTGAAAAATGGTTCGCATGGTACGATGTGGGTGAGTCGATAGAACGTTTGTGGGTTGCATTGGGGTTCGCCTGTGTCTCAGGATGTCTTCATGGGAGCTTTGACAAGGGTCCTGCAGCTACTGGACCCTGGTCAGGGTCCTTGTGCCGGAGAGTTTCAACAACATCAATCAGGGACCACCAGGCACTATCGAAGATCTGCAGCATGGGCATTGTATCTGGCATCTCTTCAAAAGGCATAGAATGCCGTCTTCTGTCAGAAGCTGCCAGGAAGCTCCACAGGCATCAGCCGATGATCTCCAATCCTTTTTCTAACGTCTCTTCTGATCTTTCGAGGTTTCGAAGTCTGAAACACTCCAAGCATTATTCTGACTTATGGGGTTGAATCGAACGATTTCCCGAGACTATCGCTACCACGCTGTCCTCAACGGCCTGAAATGAGCGGCAAAACGATTGCCTGGTCATCCACTCACCCGTGTGAAAGAGACAAATCGCTAGGACTACTGGTGGGCAGAGTCGCATCTCACTGACGAAATCCTTCAAGTCATCGTTACGTGGAATCAGAGTTCCCGCTACAAACCATCTCTCAACCGTCCACAGAGCTCTGGATAACACTATTATCTTCCACACAGCCTTAGCAGATGCAAAGGGAGATGGCTCTCTCACTACTCATCAGCTTCGCCACTGCTGTGGGCGCCTCTGAAGGCATCAAGGCTTCCATGGCCAGATCGCGTCGAGAAGAGCATCGAAGTCGAAAGAACAACCTTGTATTGCACTGTCCCAAGTCATCACAGTTCAGCCCTTACCTCGAAGGACGTCAAGTCGTCCTTTCTGGCGATAGAGTAAGCTTTCTCCATCTCCTTGCGTATCAGAACCCTAAATAATTGAACAGCTATTTGTGGACACCGGCACAGCTCATGATGTTCCTTTCGGTCACCCGTTCGAGGGCTATTATCTTCCTTACCCGGACTCACGCTTCTCGGGGCTAGTGAGCACTATTACCCATGAGGCACCTATCATGAATTGGATATTCGTCGATCCCGTTACATATCAAGTCCGCTTTGGCAACCGTGCCATTGCGGATGGTAATGTGACTGGGCCGTGGGAGTGTACTCGACAAGATCGTAGGCTTACCTTTTGTGGATGGGAAGGCTTCTGTGCAGTCTTGGAAGATGGTGGTATTTGGGGATTATATTTTGACTGTGATGGTGACAGCCTACGCCAAAAGATGAAGCCCGAAGGACGCATAGTCATCGAGATTGAGCTTATACGAAGAGAAATGAGGACGGGAAAGCCAGAGTATCTCGATCCAGAGGGGGAGGCTACAGATCATGAGCAATCGACACCGCAACCGCCAACAGATGCCGAGGAAAACTTCGTATGTGGGCATAAAGACGTGGAGCCAGAAGTCAAAGAGCACGAACGGTCTTCGGACATGAAATTCTCAAATCACGACGACGGCATGTTTGCATATGATTTGATATCAGAGAAGAATAACGTCAAGGTATGAGGTTGAGGAAAATGTCACGTCAGCTCACATAAATAGGCAAGGACTTGGGCATCACTAATGTTATCGTTGCCAAAAGCATTGCAAAGTTCCCAACGTTATGTACTTACAAGTACGATGAACGCCAATTCATTTCATATTACAGATATCAAAGATAAGCTAGGATATGTGAGTGTGTGCCTCACCATATGTCAGGGTGGCATGAAATGTATTGGAATGCGTTTCGGGTAAGGGCCTGGGATTTACCTTCTCCACGATGAATGAACAGTGCATCTCGAGTAGAGACAAGGCAATTTGGAAGGAGATAGAGCCTGCTAGATGAAGTATGTTATAAGGAATCACATGTTTTGTATATCTACTCATTAGCTTGACGGTTCATAGAAGCCATATTGAATTGAAAGTGGTGGTACACTTGTCAGTAAGACAACCTTCCGGCAAGAGAGAATTATAGCACTTTGCTGTATTTTCTCTAGGTATCTGATGCACATCAACCCCTCCAAGATGGAAGTAGGTCTCTGCAACAGCCCGAAGAGCCCTACCTCCCCTCTTCCTATAATGGATAAATGAGGATAAAGATTGGCGAGGGATTGCCACGCAAATCTTCACGCCATCAAACCCTCAATGAGAGATAGATATGAAAGATGAAAAATAAGTTTACACTTCCGTGATTATGTGATACGGAAGCTTGTCTAAGACCATGACAGGACTGGTTCTGTCTTTATGGTGATGATGCGCTATGCACAGCCAAGGCCTCGCCGTGTTGTTCAAAATTATAGTGGCTGCGCCTGTCCTTATGGCATTACCATTATTCAAGAGATATCTTCAATTGAATTAGGTTCAGAATTTATATTTTGCAGCACATATCCATCTGTCTTTCATTAGCCACCTTAGCTGTCAGGCACCGTGATTTTAATAGCCAAGTCTTGTCATTCACTGCCTGGCAGGGGAGAATCGCATGTGATTATTGCACATTCGTGTCAACTGATGGCCCTTATTATGTTTATATAGTCAATAAGAATAAGTAACTGCGCGTTGTCCCGTTAACTATGGCTCGAACAGATCGCTCTATTAAGACTTCGTTCCGAAAGAAATCCCCTTAATGCAGGTGTAGCATGAGACCAAGAGTGCCATTTCGTAGCTCGGCATAATCTCCTTAAAGCAAACTAAAGATTTCTGAACGCCTCACAGAGTATGTCTTTGACATCCACTTTAGTCTCATCGCTCTTACTAATCGCAAGTTGGACAACGATTCTCGCTATCCAGGGGCTGAGGTTGTTCCCAGAAATGATGCCCATCTTCTTGTGGTCTTCACTGTCGGTAACATTCCCAGATAAAACTCGTACCGACTGAACCACCACACAGCCACCTTTAATGGCAACATCAAGCCCAACTTTCTCTGCCGGTGTTCCTAGTCCAGGCGCAAAGCCCATGGATATGATCCCCCTTGCTCTAGCCTTGACATACGCGTCGATGCCCACGCTATCAGCACCCACGTAGCTGCACACTATGTCGACGCGCGGAGCGTTGGCAAGCATTTGGACAGTGAACCCAAGATTTGCGGGAAGCTTTGGCGGTTCCATCTCGTCGAATTTGACTTCGCCCTTGATAATGCGACCGATGGATTTGAAATTTGGTGACTTAAAGGCGTCGTGATTCTGGGTGTGAGTTTTAGTGACAAAACGGGGCAGATGTATTTCGTTGTTCAACACCACCAAAACCCCCTCATAATCATGGTTGGACATGTAAGCAGCCACGCGGAACGCGGCGATGAGATTGGCCGATGCATCTGAGGATGTTCCATTCAAGGGGCTCATGGAACCAGTGACGATGACTGGAGTCCTCAGTCTCAAGACCATAGATAGAGTGAATGCAGTCTCTTCAAGGCTTGCTGTTCCATGGGTGATGATGATGGCCTTGATATCTTTGTCTCTAGACAACCCTTCGCATCTTTGACCAATATCGTTCCAAACTTTGGAGGTGACCGCAGTACTATCGATGGATTCAAATTTCTCAGGCTGGATGCCGACACCGAGCTCTCGTGCAACTTCATCGATCCCGGTATTCTTCCGGAGTTGATCGAGTGTAACATATTCACCGTGTCCAACAGAGCCGTAATCTACATCGTCAGGGTTTTTGGCCTTAGTTCCGATGGTGCCGCCCGTGGCAAGTAATGCAAATTTCTTCGAGGCAGCGACTTCGGTCATTTTATAGATTGAAGTGACTGGGATCTTGTGGAGCTGAATGAATCAAGGAAAGTTCATTTTCGGCAAGGTCTTGCTCGAAACTTAGGCAGGAGGAAACCGCGAGAACATATTTATACCTAATCCCAATCAGATCCAATCATTTGGTCTTGCTGTTGCTACCTCAATCAGGCCATACTCGTTGGCGGCAAATGCCTGTTTGGAGTGAATGCTTCACCATAAAGAAAGCGAGAAAACATGCTGTTTCATTTAAAATCCACTCAAATGTAAATGTCGGTTCAGGTGTTTGTCAAGTCAGGCTATTCAGTAGAATGGAGATACTTCAAAGAGGCGCCAGAAATACATCGGGAAAAAAGGAGGACACGACTTCATGAACAGTCACTAGAGAATTATGCTTTGAGAGCCAATATTGGCCCAGAAATCCACAGGTTAGCCGGGTTTTGCATCCTCCAAACTAACACAAGCAAACCTTGATATCTTTAATCAGCCCGTAGGGCGCTTAAGGTCGGTCGGCAAACAAGCGCTAGCGCCGGTGAAGAAAACTCTTCCAACCGCCCAGTGAGCTAAATACGCTGATGCACACCCCCAGAGACTGTTGCTTTGTCCGAGTTGGCACGGTGGCGCAATAACGTGGTTGATGACATCCTACGCATGGTTGTTCTTGTCAAAGAAATCCTTACTGTGCCGTCAGCCACTGCGGAGGTGAAGCTGCGCATGAATACCAGCGCAAGCAAGATGCTGAAAGCCCAATGCTCTGCCAGAAGATTTGGAAGGTTTGGTAGATCTTAAGCGCGCTGCCATTCTGTTCACACGCAAGCAGAAACCCGGTTCATCGCGTTTGGTGAACAGCTCATATTCTGATTGCCGAGCACGGGATGCTCTAGTACTTTGTCATCGTGAACACCAGTGGCACGCCGAGTGATAGCACAACGAGAAGCGGACGACGAGAGTAGAAGTGGAAGTTTGCAGAAACTTCGTTATCAGTCAACGAACAGCTAGATTGTCCTTTTCTACGCTGCCGACTTTGTTCCTTGAAAGTGATCGAGGCGGCTGCGACTTGCACAACAAACCAGAGCTCAACGCGCTCCTTGAACACATGGATTGATTGCCAGTCCAGTCCTTGCAAAACGCCGGGAAACTGCTTGCCTCTGCAGGCATTGCTAGAGAGCGATCCCAATCACTCTTCCTTCTCATCCTCATCGTCATACCTACCCAACCGTCCAAGCGGGCTTACCATGAAAACATCCTCCCATCTGCCGCTAGCAGCCTTCCCATCCCAGTCTCCACCACTGTACAGAGGTAGACGCAATTTGCCTGTGCAGTGCTCGTCGATGAAGCGGCAGACCTTCTGCATATCGCCCACAGTGAAGTCATCCATGAACCACAGCATTGTGCGGGGGACGTCTGCAGGGCTCAGGCGCTCAGCGTCGACAGATGCTGTGGGTTCAATGGAGGCTCCTCGCGTATTCTTCCGTCGGGGCAGAGATTGTGATGGTGCAGGAGATGCACCGACTTTCTTGCTATCATCGTTCGGTATCTTGGATTGCTTTCGGATCGAAACAGTTGCTCTGGGGGTCGATAGCGACTGGGGGTCGTCTTGGGGGATTTTCGATTGTCTTCGCTTGGATGCTGACGTCGAGGATCTGGGCAGGGAAGCTTTTGTGGCTGGTGTTGATTCATGTCTCGATGCTAGGCTTTGAGTCAGCCAAGGATTGATCAACCATCGTCGGTTGGGAACAGGAAGGGCTTACAGCGTCGTCGTTTGTCGCTGGTAATTTCAGAAGGCTCGACCAGACTATCCCTCTTCCTCTTCGCTGAGTGTCTTGCGGCGGCAGGAGTTGTGACTTGAGGCTTGGGCTCATTTGATTGACCCTCTTCCTCGCCACTTGCATCCCCTCGCGCCGTGGGCCCGAGTAGCGCAGCATTTACACTCTCATCGTTTACGTACCCGCAGTAGTCTGTCAACACGTCCGGCGCATCAGCGCGCATTTTCACGACTGGCTCCCAAGAAACATCCTCTCCCTCGCTCGTATACCCAAGCCATTGCACTAGTACTTGCCATTGGCCCCGAACACGTCGGTGGCGTAGCAGACGAAAGGGATGGTAAAGCTCTCCGATTCCTAGAACATCTTGGCGCGTCTTGCCCGGAAAGCTGGCCCAGTAGTCGCATAGCAATGTCGGTTGATGCTCCTGGACATCCCATTCGGAAACATCTAGGCGGGAGCCTTTGGCGAGAACGGTAAGGGTCACGAGCGCGGTCTCGGGATCAAGGGTATGCGCTACGATTTTACTGATCGCGTCATAGGGAATGTCTGCTCGAGGTTTTCGGCGTCAATGAGGGCGCAATAGAATGGGAATGGGAGCGCATGGGGAATATGAGAGAGCTAGGCAGAGAGACTTTGGTAGTTGGAAATTCTTCTTACCTTGCTTCGCAAGCTTCGACGAGGGTCTACCTCGAGGCATGGCTACAGGCGGAGAAGAATTTGAATGCTAGTATTGAGGGCAGACACAAGCAAAGAACGGAGTCGTGATCGGAGAGCAAGCAGGATGCTGCGGGAAAGTTGCGCTGTCAATGAGTTGATCGCGTGTGGGACGCGTTCGCGTCTGGCAAGGTAAGGTAAGGTAAGGTAGCACTGCGTCAATATTTTTTCTGGGTCCGGGGGCCCGGCTCCGATGTGGACCCCTCTTGCTGCCCCCGATCTCTGCGGCCGCTCTGCGAATTTCCCCTCCCAGTCCGCAGTGATGGCCGTTCTTAGAATGAAGTTCTCCATGGGGTACAGGTAGTTAGCAGGTTTCTACCGGTGCATGGGTCAGAATTGGTCTGGTTCGGCATGGGCCTGGGGTCGTTACTCGCTGCGATACCGGCGTGACGGTGTGGTCAAGGGCCGAACCCCGCAACACGGCATCAGTCCCGGGGAAGAACAATCTCGACTAGAGGCATCGTTGCATGTAATTGAAATAGAGATGATCTGCAGAACCAGGCAATTCTGAGTTACCTCGTCAAGAATATTCACTTTGAAGCCTCAGGCCGGCCCAGCTTTCGTAGGTGAGCTGCAAATGACTTGTCAACGTTGATGTATGCATATATACATAATAATCTATCTATACTGTACGCGAGGGCGGACATCTGCAATTTGTATGCTGATATGTATGCACTCGCCGTGCAGACTGTCTATGGTGCTCGCCTCCTTTGTTTATCATCTATCTATGTAGTCTCTATGATCTATTGGAGGAGAATGTCGTGTGTCTCGTCTGATCGCGCCAGGCCCATCTATTTCATCGTCTATTCGTAGGCCCATCCAATTCGGAGAAGCTTGTAGCCACTCTCATCCCCTCGTCCCACTCCGCTCCGTTTTAGCAGTTCTTCTGATTGCAGGATGGCAAGCCTCTTGCCGTCTGACCGCTTGGGGCTGTCGCCAGCCGTGAAGGCAGACTCTACGCTGTCGCTGACGCCGTTGAAACGGCCATTGCGCCGCACTGTGACCAGGAGCCAGAACACGCCAGAATCTGCGAGTAGACAAGTCGCACAGTCACGCAGCCAGAAAGCGTGCTCCGGCGCGTAGATGACGTCGGTCGCGATGATGATGTCGGCGGGAACATGGAGCGGTGCATCCAGGACAGGTGCTGCCCAGTCGAGAGCGGCGGTCTGTACGTGGGCGGGATTGGCTGTCGCGAAGTTGAGGGCAACATTGGCGCGTAAGTTCTCAAGCACAGCCGGGTGGTAATCAGTTGCCACGATGGTCGGACTAGATGCTCCCAAGTGAGGCAGCATTTTGCCGAGCATGAGACTCACAAGCCCCGTGCCGGCGCCGAGTTCAATGATGCGCGGCGAAATACCCAGTCCAGGTTGGGAAAGACGAAAGCGCTCCGGCGAGGCACACATGATGTCCGACAGGACGATGGAGGCGCCCCAGCTCTGGAGACCGACATCGTCCGGGTCAGCCGAGTTTGTACCCGCTAACCTGTCGTTGAGTCGGATGGTGACTGGAACACTTGCTGATGGTGGTTTGGGGAGCGAGAGTTGGAATGCGAAATCGCGCGTGTAATCCTGATCCTTCTCGGCCGAGGCATCATCGTCTGGTGGGGCGGCGAAGAATGATTCGAGGATGCAAGAGGCCTGGTCCAGTGCGTTTTGACAAGCGTCCTGGGATTTAAAGCAAGAAAGAGTCTCGGCTCTGGCGATTAAGCCAGTCAACCAGCGCTCGGCGCAATTGCGCTCAAAGACGTCGACTTTGAGAGCGGCTATGTGGTGGTCTAGGCCGTCAATCTCCTCATGATCGTCGTCTGTCTCCGACACGTAGCCAGAGTCGGCGAGAGATGAATCGTGATGAGCAAACTTTTGCGTCTCGGGGCTAAGCTGAAAGGCGACGGACACGGCCAAGGGGCAGTAGATGACGGAGAGGTTCTGTAGGGCGGCGGCGACATCGGCTTCGGTGAGCTGGTTCAAAGTGCGCAAAGGCGGAAGACTGCTTGAGGGCGGCAGCGGATGCGCAGCGGGGCTCATGGGTCGCGACTCGCCTCACTACGCGGAGGCTGCAAGCGAGAATTGTGCTACTCGACAATACTTCATGGACGGAGAGAAGCACAGGTAGGGCGTGGGTTCGTGGAGAAGCATCAAATCGCGAATGAGTTTGTATCCCTCATGGTTTGAGATGAGGCAACCTGGGGGAGGTCTTTGCTTGATGAAAAAGGATAACGACTGCAGGGTTCCGAGTCCCCTATCTTAGCGTGTCTGACACGAGCATGGCAGACCCGCTTTTGCCTAAATGAGGGCATCGTGAAAAATTGTTTTAGTAGCCCTATCCTTGGACTGTTAGACCTTGCCACCTTGGGAATCGGGACCGGGCAGCTGGAGAAGAACTTAGCGGTATCCTCAGGTTAGACCGGTAGGTAGGTGGGTCGGGGCCCTCTGTTCCGGCGATTCCCGTCAAGGAACAATCTCCCGGCCACCTCCATGAGGTAATCAAAGAGAATCCAAATCGTACCCCAGATCAGCCCGCCCC